GCTTCAGAATAAGCTTGGACCTCATACTGAGTACTCTAGTGATTTAGCTTTCTCCTTGTCATCCAGTTCCCTAGCCAAGGGAGCAAGTGTGTGCTGATGTAGACTAGTATGACCACAGGCCTCTGAATAGAGCATTGTTTGCTATTCTGGACTTGTGTCTTGGGATTTTTTTTTTTTTTTTTTAAAGAGGCTCTTGCTGTGTTGTGCTTGCTTTTTTGCTGGGGATAACTTGGCCCGTTACTATCTGTGCTGGATAGCTTTAATGTCAACTTGACACATCTGGGTTGAGGGAGCCTCAACTGGGGACTCCATAGGACTGGCCTGTGGCCATGTGGCCATGTCTGTGGGGCATCTTCTTGATTGATGAGTGATGTGGGAGGGTCCAGCCCACTGTGGGTGGTGCCACCCCTGGGCAGGTGGACCCATGCTACATAAGAAAGCAAGCTGAGCAGGGGCCAGGGGAGCAAGCCAGTAAGCAGAATTCCTCCATGGCCTGTGCTTCAGCTCCTGCCTCCAGTTGGTATTGGTCAGTGTATTTTGTCATAGTAATGAAGAAACAAACTTGGACATTATCCCATCCCTGAAGAACAGGGTGACTGACTTATCCTGGTGTCTTTCCTGGCTGGACCTTGAGTCACTGGCTTGCTTCATGCCATTCTAAGAGCAGCCTGTGGCAGGAGTCTCTGAAATGGCTCAGGACCTGTCCCCTGGGGAGTGGCCTAGAGGTTTGTGGCATTTGTATAATGCTGAGGAGAGTCAGAAACATACTGTGGCAACAGCAGGCCTGCCCTCCCACCATGTCCCTGCTCCTGCTTGCCAGGTGAACAATGTGGGAAGACTCCTAGATGCTGCTCTTTTGCAATTACTCTTTGCTCTTTCTGTTGCTAATGCGAAGGCTGGACATCAGGTTGTGGTGGACATAAGCTCAGCACCACCATGTAAGCAAGCAACCTCAGCTTTACTGAAGGGCCCTTCTTGGTACTGTGGACAGATGGGTGGTATATGCTGGTGTCACCCACCCTGACAAATGTTTCTCTTTCCTTGTTTTGTTTTTTTGTTTTTTAATACTTTATTATTTTTATTTTATGTGTGCAAGTGTATTGCCTGCACGTATGTGAGTGCACCCATGTTGTGCAATGCCACGGAGGTCAGAAGAGGGCTTCGGATTCCTCTGGAACTGGTGTTAAGGACGGTTTTTAGCCAGCATATGGGTGCTGGGACTAGAACCCGGGTCCTCTGCAAGAGCATTCAGTTAACTGCTGAGCCATCTCTCCAGCCCCTAAAATTTTTTTTAAATTATATTTTGTGTGTATGTGTGTGCATGTGTCATGGTGCATGTGTAGAAGACAGCCTGTGGGAGTTGGTTCTCTTACCATGTGGGTCCTGGGGTTAAACTCAGGTCATGAGGTTTGGTGGCAGGCACTCTTACCCACTAAGCTATCTCACTAGCCCCAGCAATGTATTTCTTGTTGAGATGCTACTTTTGCTCATTGCTATTTCCCTCTACGTGGCAGGTGATTTATCAAAAAAGGGAAAGGCAGGGCTGGGCATGGTGGTGCATGCCTTTAATCCAGCACCCTGGAGGCAGAGGCAGGCAGATTGAGGACTCAAAGCCAGCCTTGTCTACATGGCGAGTTCCAGGCCAGCAACTATGGGGAGATCCTGTCTCAACCACATAGTCTGCACCTTCAGATGGTATAGGCTGAGAACCAGCAGCGCCCAGACTAGTTCTGTGTTGGTGGAATTTTTAAAGAATATTGAATAATTGGGGCTGGAGGGATGGGTCAGTGGTTAAGAACACTGGTTGTTCTTGCAGAAGACCCAGGTTTGAATCCCAGCACCCACATGGCACCTAACAACTGTCCTAACTCCAGTCCCAGAGGATCTGACAGCCTCTTCTGACCTCCGCGGGCATTGCACGACACAGGTGCACTTATCTACATGCAGGCAATACACGCATACATGTAAAATAAAAATAATAAAATATTTTTTAAAAAAAGAATATTGAGTAATTTAGGTTGGGGTGTAGCTCAGTGGTGAGCACTTGTCTTGCATGTGTGAGACCTTGGGTTCCATCCTCAGCACTGCAGAAAAAAAACATATTTTACACTTTTTGAAAACAGCTAAACTGTGTAGGTTGTTAGTAGTTAGTAATCTCACTGATGGGCCAGTGCAATGGCTCGGTGGGTAAAGGGGCTTGCCACCAAGCCTGATGACCCCAAGATCTATCCGGCTATAGGAGAAAACCAACTCCTGTGAGTTATCCTCTGACCCCCACCCTCCTCCAACAATAGAGAAAGAATCTGATGAGCTTAAGAAGAGCTCGGTCTCTGTGCCATGTGTTGTCTGCTTCTTCTCTTTGCTTGTCCACTGCGTTAAGCCTACAGTGGAAGCCACACTCTTGTAATCCAGGGAGGGAAATTGGATAATTAAGTCTGATGAGATGGGGTAGCACTTGTTTCATGTGCAGAATCATCTTTACCTATACTTGGAGTTGAGGCCAAGGCAAGAAGGTGGGAAAGAGGACAAGCAGCTTCCTGCTGGCAAGTAGCCAGGTGGCACTGAGCCTGGTCGAGCTCTGCCTTGTTCCATGTGGCCTTGCCCTGAGTGCCATGACACTGCAGGGCAGGGTAGATTATAGGGCTGGGTGGGGCTTAGAGAGAGATTGCTGGTTCTCACAGGGCCCCTAGGGAGGTAAAGGAGAGGGACAAGGGTGCATAGTGCTTACACTCCCCACCTCCCTCTCCTCTCTGGTTCATAGTCCTGTCCCCACTGTTCTTTTTAGGTGTCACTTACTATGAGATCAGCGTGGGCTTAATGAGTCTGTGATTGAGGACACCTTTGGAGCTTGGAGAGTGCCACAGCCAGCTATGACACCAGGGCTGAGCCCAGCAGCTGGAACCTCAGAACCCATTCAGTTTAAAGTCCTGAGTCTGTGTGGGCTGGTGACGTCTGCTCAGCTTGCCCTGCCTATTACACATTGAGACAAGGTCATGTATGCTGCTGGTCTCCATGAGCCCACCTATGAAATAGCTCTGGAGAGCTCCCATTGCTCTGACAGGACAGTCACTGTCATGGCTTCATCTGTGCTGGGTGTTAGAGGATGCCAGGCATTTGGTGTTCTTGGTACTTGTTAATTAACATGGAATTCCAAAGGTTCTCCTGAGCCACAGAGAACTCAGTTATGAGGTTAGTCATACAGCAGCAAATGGAACTAGGTTTTTTGTTATTTTGGAGACAGTCTCTCACTTTGTAGCCCTGGGTAGCCTGGAATTTGCTATGAAAACCAGACTGGCCTTGAACTCACTGAGATCCACCAGCCTCTGCCTCCCGAGTGCTGGGATTAAAGGCGTGTGCTACCACTCCCGGCTATATTTATGTATTTTTAATATTTCGTTTTATTATTTTTTATGTGTATGCGTGTATTGCCTGCATGTAGGTAAGTGCACCCATGTCATGCAATACCCTGGAAGACAGAAGAGGCTGTCAGATCCCCTGGGACTGGAGTTAAGACAGTTATTAGCTGCCATGTGGGTGCTGGGATTTGAACCTGGGTCTTGTGTAAGAACAACCAGTGTTCTTAACTGCTGAGCGATCTCTCCAGCCCCTTAGGTATTTATTTTCATCTTATGTGTATGGGTGTTTTATTTGTATGTATGAAGTGCACCAGTGCATGCAATGCCTATGGCAGCCAGAAGAGGGCATTGGATACCCTGAAACAGACTCCAGTTGTTAGCTGCCATGTGGGTGCTGGGATTCGAACCTGGGTCCTCTGCAAGAGCACCCATGCTCTTAACCACTGAGCCATCTCTCTTAACTCATCCCCAACTTTTAAAAACTTTTAAATTCTATTTTTATTTATTTATTGGTCGGGAGGTAGGAGGCATGCATGCCACAGTACAGGTGTAGAGATCAGAGGACAACTTACCTGTGGGAGCTGGTTCTCTCCTACACATGGGTCTCAAGGATCCAGCTCAGGTCTTCAGACTTGACAAGCAGGCATCTTTACCTGATGAGCCATCTAACCAGCCTGGAACTCCAGTTGTTGAACTTGAACAGTTTGCTCCAGAGCTGCCCTCAAGTGCTAGAGGCAGAAGAAAGCTGGGGTGTGGGTATTCACAGCAGACCTCAGGAGTGAATTGAAGTTTGTGGCCACCTGTGTATGGGTTTGTGCATGACCAGGAGAGAGAGGTTTCTGATACAGATTTAAAACCTGAAGGAGGATTGTGCAGGTCAATTTTTTCAGTATCGGATGGTAAGCCCGATATTGACCCTGGCTCCACATGGGTCAGAAGGAGCCTTTATTTTTGTTGTGCACATACTCTGGGCTCAAGGAGTGGTCCAGGCTGCAGTGGCCCTCTCCAGCCTTTGAATGGGTACTGCATGGGACTTGGGCAGCCCTATGATCTTGACCTAGTGTGGACAGAGAAATTTGAAGTTTTTAGCTAACAGATACTGGCTGTGGCTTTCAAGGCCTTACCTGCTTTGAGGCAGGAGTAGGCCTGATGGGAATGTGCCACAAAGAGAAATGGGCAGAGCTGGAGAAGCCATTCTAGAGCCAGGTATGGGAATGGGTCCTGTGCGCTCCTTTAGGTTTGCCCCTTTGTTTAAGGGAGAGAATATCCAAACTGGATAGACTCCTGGCTCTGCACCCCCTTCTCCCCCAAATCCCAAAGCTATGCTCGCACTTCCACGTCAGTGGTGCAGAGCTTAGGTTGAGTCCTTAAGTTTTTGTTGCACGTGCATGTCTGCCCTGCTGTTGTATGTCTCTGGGGACCTGTGAGTCAGGCCAGGGAGACTCACACCCACGTATGAGGCCCTGTTGGGCCACACACTGTACTGGCCTCACATACCATCCTGGCCTAATTCACAAACCCTTTCAAGGGCTCCCTTCCGGACATGAGGAAGTAGACTGTGGAGCACAGTTCCATGTTCCTGTTGGTGTTTGGTGCTGAGTGGTCAGCTTCTCATTGTTGCTTTTCTGTTTTTCCCCTTTCAAGGAACGTTCTGTCTCACTGCTGTATGCCAGCCAGCCCTGTGCACCTCTGCTTCAAAGGTGAGCTGTTCAGCTGTTGGACTCAGAGGCCTGAGTGCTGGGGCGCTGTGGCAGGGGCAACATGGACACCTGCCTCTGCAAGCTTGGTTGTCACAGGACCTCAATACTTTCCCGTCCGTGGCTGGCACTCGTCATCTCCCCTCTGTGATGACTCTGTGGTGGAGAAGTCCCTTAAGTCCTTAAAGGACAAGAATAAGAAGCTGGAGGAGGGTGGCCCTGTGTATAGCCCACCAGCTCAGGTGGTGGTGAAGAAGTCCCTCCGGCAGAAGGTGCTGGACGAGCTGAAGCACTACTATCATGGCTTCCGCCTGCTCTGGATCGACACCAAGATCGCTGCCCGCATGCTCTGGCGCATCCTCAATGGCCACACGCTGACCCGCCGGGAGCGCAGGCAGGTATGGGACACAGCGTGCTCCTGCTTTCTATCTGAAGGCTGTTTTCTACTCATTTTGATAAAATGTCTGTTAGAATCTATAAAAACATGAGCTTCCCTCATACCACCAGTGGACTGTGACTGCTGACAGTTTTATTCAGGTGGTTTCTGCAGCCCTGACTTGGTCCTTCTGTGCTCCTCCATGGAGTGGGCTTTCCCTGCTCTTCAGCCAACCCTCGGTTGCCTTTCTCTCTTCCCACTTTCAGGATTTTCTTCACATACATGGTATTCCTCTCTGGAAGTCTGTTGAAGTTATTTCTTTAGCTCTGGGCTGATACACAATTCCTCCTGTCCTTCAGCTCTGAAAAGGCCCTTCCTAAGCTGTGTACAGAGATGGCTCTCTCTGGGACTGTGGCCAGTCGGGAGCTAAGGCAAAAGGAGCTAAAGCTGACAAGTTAACACAGTGAGACCTTGTCTCAAAAAGAAACAGATGAGCTGGGCATGGTGCGCACGCCTTTAGTCCCAGCACTCGGGAGGCAGAGGCAGGCGGATCTCTGTGAGTTCAAGGCCAGCCTGGTCTACATAGTGAGATTCAGGCCAGCTGGAGCTACAGGGAGATCCTGTCTCAAAAAGACCAAAAAAAAAAGGTTCTTAACCACTGAGCCACTGGTTAACCCCAGACTTTTCCTACCTATGGCTGTGGTTTATCCCTAGAAGTTCTAGTGTTTTGTTTTTCTTTTTCACCATTGAATTATTTGTCTTTCATGGTAGGACCTTCTTCCTTTTTTGAACTTTTGGTTCCTCCTCTTTAGTCTTCAACAATTCTAAATAGATTTCATGCCTGAATTCAGTATTTCTGTTTTTTGACATTGGTGGGAACTCTTTATTGTAGACTTTGCTCCTGGTAAGCAGCATGTGTTTTGTGATTTTTTTGTTGTTGTTATTTGTTTGTGTTTATTTTATTATTTTGTGATATTTTGTTGTTTATTTGTGTGTGTGGTCTTTTGTTTTAAGTGAGTTTTTTTGTTTATTTGTTATATTTGTTTTAGACAGGGTCACATGTTGCCCAGGCTGACCTAAAATTCACCATGTAGCTGAGGATGATCCTTCTGCCTCTGCCTCCTAAGTGCTGGGATTATAAGCTTGTACAACCTATCACATCTGGTTTATGCAGTGTTAGGGGCTGAACCCAGAGTTTCATGCATGCTAGGTAGGCACTCTACCACCTGAGATACATCACCAGCTCTGCTCTATGATTTGGGACTATGAATTCATCTTCAAAGGGATCTTAACTGTTGGAACCCTGAATGCCTTAGATACTGATGATGATTTTCCTGTGGGTGCTGTGAGATCCCTGGGGCTGTAGAAGGAACAGCTCGGGGAGGCATTAGGTCTCCAAGGCATGAGCTCTTCTTCCATCTCTTCCCCAAGAACACCTCTTTGTTTCTAGCTCCTGGGGATCTCCATTACTTTTTTGTGGACTGTAGGTTGTTGCTGCTGTTGTGGTTTTTTGGTTTTTTTTGTAGCCCCAGCTGTCCTGGAACCCATGTGCATCCCAGGAAGTGAACCCAGGTTGTCAGTCTTGGTGGGAAGCACTGTTACCCACTGAGCCATCTCTCCGACCCACTATTAACATTTTTTAGGCCAACTCCCATTTTTCTAGTTCATTTATTTATTTACTTTTTTTGTCTTTTTGAGATGGGGTCTCCCTGTAGCCCCAACTGGCCTGGAACTCACTATGTAGACCAGGCTGGCCTTGAACTCACAGAGATCCACCTGCCTCTGCCTCCCAAGTGCTGGGACTACAGGTGTGCGCCACCACGCCTGGCTAATTCTATTGTTTTTGATTATGTGTATATGCTTTACTTTTATTGTTTTTAATTATGTGTATGTGTGTGAGTCCGGGTCTGTATATGTGTGTGCAGGTGCCCACAAAGGCCAGATGCATCGGATTCCTTGTAGTTAGAGTTACTGGTGATTGTAAGCTGCCTGACATGGATGCTGGGATCTGAACTTGGGTGCTTTGCAAGAACAGTGTATATTTTAACCACTGAGCAATCTCTCCAGCCTTTTTTTTTTTTTATTTTAAAATAAACTTTTCACTTTAGAATAACTTTAAGCTTCCAGAGAAGTCTCAGATGGTACAGTGTTTGGACTCTACCCCAGGCCCCTAGTACCTCATCACTGTTCATGGCTTTCTTCCTCACACTGCCCCCCAAGGCCCCTCTGCTCTGTGTTGAGAGCGCTGGTGGTGTCCTGCAGTCCAGCCCCCACTGGTGCTCATCCAGCATTCGTCTGCCAGTCTCACAGGTGACTCCTGTCACCTCCCACTAGGGACAATGGGACATCACAGCACTTAGCCCAGGTGGCCTCCCACTCCCCTTTTAGGAGCTCCATATACCTGTGTCCAGCCCAGTCTAGGCCTCTGCCCCTGCCATGTTCACCACTCACTGTGCTCTTGCTGTTTCCTCTGTGCGTAGTCTCAGGCTCAGAATGAATATCTGGAAAAAACCCTGGTTCTCCCTTGCCCTCCCCCACTCCCCTGGTCCTGGACATCTCCTAGAGGTCTCTGCTGCTATCAGCTCAGCATGGCAGACAACCCTTGCCAGTGCTCAGGTTGAAACCATGGCAGCCCTCAGGACCCATGTCCTTACGTGTCTAGCAGCCATCCAGACTCTGGGGTAGAGCCCAGGTCCAAGTATTCCATATCGCCTACCCTTTCTGTCCTGCGTTGTGGAGACATGCTTCAGCAGCAGTCATTTTAAAATAGAAGTGGGAGGCTGGAGAGATGGCTCAGCCGTTAAGAACACTGGTTGTTCTAACAGAAGACCAGGGTTCGAATCCCAGCACCCACATGACAGCTAACAACTGTCTATAACTCCAGTTCTAGGGGATCCATCAGCCTCTTCTGTCCTCCACGGGCATTGCACGACACGGGTGCACTTACCTATACGCAGGCAATACACACATACACATAAAATAAAAGTAATAAATAAAATATTGAAAATAGAAGTAGGTTATGCTGCTTGTACTGCAGGGCCTTTTCCCTAGACAGAAGGAGAACCTTGTAAGCAGCAGTCCTCAGTGCTTGAGCCTTGGTTTGACTTCACTTCCTGTGTTTTTTCTGTACCAGCCTTGCTGCCCAGAATCAGATCCTGGTTGTGTTTTGTGCTGGTCAAGCCCAATTTATCACCTCCTTGTCAGACCTTTCAGATAGTCAGGCCTAGGGCCCTGCACTGGCTGTGTACTCATGCTTGTGTATTTATTCCAGTCTGGCTTGCAAAAGAGCAATGTATTTGCATTCCCATGTGGGTGGGTACTATCATCCCCTACTTGGGAGGCCGGGGCAGGAGGATCTCTGTGAGTTCAAGGCCATCCTGGTCTATATAGTAAGTTTCACTAGAGCTACATAGTGAGACCCTGTTTGAAAAACAAGATGATGAAGAAGAGTTATTTTTGTGATGCTGGGGATCAAGCTTAGGGCTCTGTACATGATAGGCAAGTGTTCTACCACAGCCACATTCCAAGCCCAGAAGTTTTTTTTCTTTAAATATTTAAAATGTTAGGGGCTGGAAAGCTGGGCGTGTTAGCACATGCCTTTAGTCCCAGCACTCAGGAGGCAGAGGCAGGCAGATCTTTGTGAGTTCAAGGCCAGTCTGGTCTACATAGTGAGTTCCAGGCCAGCTGGGGCTACGGGAAGACCCTGCCTCAAAAAGACCCCCCAAAAACCAAAACAAAACAAAAAACCAAAAAGGGGCAGGAGGGAGAGATGACTTGGTGATTTAAGAGACCTGGGTTTGAATCCCAGCACCCACATGGCAGCTAACAGCCATCCATAACTCCAGTTCCAGGGGATCTGACACCCTCTTCTGGCCTCCGTGGGCATTGCATGACGTGGGTGCATTTACACACATGCAAACAATACACTCATACACTTAAAATAAAAATAATTTAAAAATTTTAAAGTATTTTAAAAGTTTTCAGCCTGCTGGTGGATCAAGTTATTGAGAAATGATTAGATTATCAGGGCTGTGAACTAATGTACTCTACCTTTAATCCATTGATGGATTCAAAGTTTGAATGACTGTTGGGATGTAGTAGAACTCTGCAAGGTAGGGCCTGGTTGGAGGAAATAGGTCCCTGGGGGTTTGTCCTTGCCGGTTGTGTCTTACCCTGGTCCTGCTACTGCTTTGCTTTGCTTCCTGGCTGCCATGGTGGGAGCTCCCTACTGTGCCCACCTGTCTGCACCATGATACACTTAAACCCTGAGACAAGCTGAGATGCCCTCCCTCCTGCTAAAGTGTCCTCTCAGGTGTTTTGCTTAGAGCAATAAGAGAGCTGAGTAACACAGAAAACTGATCCCAGAACTGGGGTCATTGCTATGACTAAACCTCTGCTTGTAGTTCTTAAGCCTTTGGAACTGGTATGAGGAAGAAGTTTGACAAAGTTTGGAGAAGTAGGCTAGAAAAGCCACAAAATCCTGTAAACAGAGCTTAATGGGTAATTCTGGTAGGAGCTCAGAAGATCAGAATGCTGACAGAAATGTAGGCAGTGAAGACTCTGTCATTAGTCAACAAGTGAAGGGCTTGCTATGCAAGCATGAGGACCTGATTCAGGCCCCGCACCCACATAATAGCTGGACATGGGGCGCATGTCTGTAACTCCAGCTTTGGAGAGCTGGGGGGCAGAGACAGGCAAATCCCTAGGGCTTACTTGTCAGCCAGCCTAGCCAAAACGGCAAGCTCCAGGTTCAGAGATAGACTCTATCTCAAAATAATTAGATGGAAACCTGCGCTGTGGCACACATCTTTAATTCTGGCACTTGGAGGGCAGAGGCAGGCAGATCTGTAAGCTGGAGGCAAGCTGGGGCTATAAGGAGACCATGTCTCAAAAAACCCACAAATTAAATAAATAATAATTAGATGGAGAGCAGTAGAGGAAGACACCTAGTGTTGACCACAGACCAGTACACTGTGCATGCGTGCACACACACACACACACACCCCAAAGAGTGTAACGTTAGGTTTCAGATGGAAATAGGACTTTATTGGGAATTGGACTAGAGGCCATTCATGTTATATTTTTGTTTTTTGTGTTTTTTTTTTGTTTTTATGTTTTTTATGTCTTTTTGAGACAGGGTCTCCCTGTAGCCACACCTAGCTTGGAACTTGAACAGATCCTCCTGCCTCTGCCTCCTGAGTGCTGGAATTAAAGACAGACACCACCACACGCAGTTTGGTTTTTGTATTTTGAGACAAGGTCTCCATGTTCTTTTCATTTTATCTGTGTCTTGAGAATCTGGGAGATTGATTTTAAAGGAGACCAATTAATCTGGCAGAGGTACTTTCAAGACAATAGAATCAGGGTCCTGGGAGATGGTTCAGCAGATTAAGAAAGGTATGTCTACCTTGCAATCCTGACAACCTGAGTTTGATTCCTGGGACCCATGTAAGGGTGGAAGGAGAGAACCAACTCCACAAAGTTGTTCTCTGATCCTCACATGTGCTGTAGCACACACATCATGCACACATACACACAGTAATACTAATTAATAAATAGTAAATGAATAACTTACAAAAATAAATCAGTCAATGGAATGATTTTCCTGGATGCTTTAGGCTTATAGTGAAGACCAAGAGCAAAAAGCTGAGTAGAAAGACTTGAAAGCCTGGAACTTGCTATATAGACCAGGCTGGCCTTGAACTCACAGAGATCCGCCTGCCTCTGCCTCCTGAGTGTTGGGACTAAAGGTGTGTGCCACCAAGCCCAGCAAGACTAAGGTTCGTTATTGTATTTATTTATTTA